CCGATCATTCCTCCGATCGTCGCGTTCCGTTGAGACGAATAAAAAAGTTTCTCGTCCAAACGCGATTCTATCTAACAAAACGAAATGCGTGTCATGCATACATCTACCTCGATAATTCTTGATACGTGTAAATGATTGTCTGTGATTGTCCGCGATTGTACACGTAGAATAATCACATTTCAACATCTCTTCTTCGTTTTGTATGCCTATTTCAAAGTACGCGAAAGAATGGGATTGGGAGAGAAAGTGGAAAGGAGAAAAAGGGAGGCCTCGATGTCTCCTGATAACGCCTTAGATTACTTTCTCCAAGTGTTTGTGTGTCGGGGTGTGCTTAACGTTAAGGACACTTAACTTTGTATAATCTTACGTCATTAGTTAAAATAATAATCACACATGAACAAATACTTTTTTTTTCTTTTTTTTTTTAATTTTGAAATTGCAAAAAACGGGAAACAGGGCATGTATCATGGAACTATTCGGAATGGATTTCGATCGGAATTATACCATTTTCTCCTTAGAACATACTCTTGGTAACACAAGTTATTGGCCCAATATTGGACCTCATCCCAACGTTTAATCAATGTATTATTAATAAATTACTATTAGGGCACAATAGAAATCTAGGGAATAATTAAAAAATTTCGATCAGAATTCATTCCCAATAATTTCATAAAATCCGTATCACACTACGCATTGGAGATTGAGAATTGCAAATTGAAGATTAAAATTCAGCCAATTAAAGCGAAATGTATTGAAATTAAAAATATCATTTGACTGATCGAATTCTAATCTCTTATTCGCAAAAATTTTTAAGCGATTCCTAGACTTAATATTATCGTACAATATTATTGATGCCTTTAAAGAATTTAAAACAAAGGTCTGAAGGCTCAATACAAGACGGAGCTATTCCGTCAGTTTCAACTTTAGAATAATATGAAAATTTACGACGGTAAACGATATCTCTTTACAGTGACACGTTTACATTACATTATATGTACAATCGTGATTGCTGAGAGCGCAAGCACAACCTTTAGATACTCAATATGTTGTTCAAAAACATAAATATTATCGCGAGAAATGGACGAAAAACTCTCTAGGTGATTAGTAATCTTCAGTCTACAATATAGTGCGAAACGATTTTAATACGTGCCCAGGATGTGAATTCGGCGCGAGTCCGATTTCTCGATCCGCGATCCCGCGATTGCGAAGACGGGTGGAGGACCGGCGAGTGTCGCTGTCGAGAGTCGGGTGTCGCTATCGAGTGTCTCTAAGGATCAAACTTCCTTTCTTGAAAATGTCTCATAGCGCTGCAATTTTGGTGAATCGTCGTCGGGGTTGGATGTAATACGTA